GAATTCATAATAATAATAATACAATTGTTTTATACAGCACTTTTCAAGACACTCAAAAACGTTTCACATGTCGTTATTCATTCACTCCAAACACAGTGGTTATAAACTACTACTGTAGCCACAGCTGCCCTGCGGCACACTGAAAGTTGCAAGGCAACCAGTCTGTGCCATCAGCCCCCTCCCACCATCACCAACCATTCACACACACACCAGACTCATTCTAATGTGGGAGAAGTGTCTTGCATAATGACACAACCACAATCCGGCACTTTACAGCCGCATGCAGCCGCACTGTGGCACCTGGTGTTCCCAGAGGTCTTCCATCCCATTATTGACCAGGCCCTGTTCTACTTAGCTTCAGAGGTCTGACGGGATCTGGCTTTTGTCTTAAGGTGTGGCCACATTCACGATCAAATGAATGATGTGTTTGTGTGTATGTGTGTGTGTGTGTGTGTGCGTTTGCTTGTATGTGTATGCTAACAGTATATAAAGCATTTTGTTTTTCTCTTCTGTGAAAAAAATAAAAACACTCTCCATCCATTCTGAGTTACAGCCCAAAAATATTAGATTAAATTAGTTTAGATTATCATTACATAGTCAGAATGATGCAACAACATTCAGTTCAGCATCAAACCAGTAAATATATATGTGACACCAGAGAGACCAGAGAGAGAGAGACCACAGAGAGAGAGAGAGAGAGACAAAAGAAAGTGTGAGCACAGGGACTGTTAGCTCAATGTGGTGTGAGCACAGGGACTGTTAGCTAATGGAGGTGTGAGCACAGGGACCATTGCCTAATGGAGGTGTGAGCACAGGGGCCGTTAGCTAATGGAGGTGTGAGCACAGGGGCCGTTAGCTAATGGAGGTGTGAGCACAGGGACCATTGCCTAATGGAGGTGTGAGCACAGGGGCCGTTAGCTAATGGAGGTATGAGCACAGGGACTGTTAGCTCAAAGAAGTGTGAGCACAGGGACCGTTAGCTAATGGAGGCATGAGCACAGGGACCGTTAGCTAATGGAAGTGTGAGCACAGGGACCGCTAGCTTCTCCTCCTGCAGCTCTCTTCTCTCTCAGACAAATCCCCGCGGCACTTAGGAGTCATCCATTTTTAATGTTGGTGCCGCACCTCAGACATGTGAGAGTGTGACATCACCACATGCTGCTCCTCTGTCTGTGGACCAACAACATCACACTAAATATCAGCACGTGTTCTTCTTTCACAGCAGCGGACCAACTGCACAGCAAGTTTATTTGTATAGCACAGATCATACAAAGGGAACACAACGTGCAGAGATAAAAACTAGATTGTGAGAAAATCAAAATTAATCACAGTACATTAAAGGAGATGTCTACCTATGTTTAGATCTGACTCAGAGTCCCAGCAGGAGGCCGGTCCCTGTGCTCCTCAGAGTCCCAGCAGGAGGCCGGTCCCTGTGCTCCTCAGAGTCCCAGCAGGAGGCCGGTCCCTGTGCTCCTCAGAGTCCCAGCAGGAGGCCGGTCCCTGTGCTCCTCAGAGTCCCAGCAGGAGGCCGGTCCCTGTGCTCCTCAGAGTCCCAGCAGGAGGCCGGTCCCTGTGCTCCTCAGAGTCCCATCAGGAGGCCGGTCCCTGTGCTCCTCAGAGTCCCAACAGGAGGCCAGTCCCTGTGCTCCTCAGAGTCCCAGCAGGAGGCCGGTCCCTGTGCTCCTCAGAGTCCCAGCAGGAGGCCGGTCCCTGTGCTCCTCAGAGTCCCAGCAGGAGGCCAGTCCCTGTGCTCCTCAGAGTCCCAGCAGGAGGCCAGTCCCTGTGCTCCTCAGAATCCCAGCAGGAGGCCGGTCCCTGTGCTCCTCAGAATCCCAGCAGGAGGCCGGTCCCTGTGCTCCTCAGAGTCCCAACAGGAGGCCGGTCCCTGTGCTCCTCAGAGTCCCAGCAGGAGGCCAGTCCCTGTGCTCCTCAGAGTCCCAGCAGGAGGCCAGTCCCTGTGCTCCTCAGAATCCCAGCAGGAGGCCGGTCCCTGTGCTCCTCAGAGTCCCAACAGGAGGCCGGTCCCTGTGCTCCTCAGAGTCCCAGCAGGAGGCCAGTCCCTGTGCTCCTCAGAGTCCCAGCAGCAGGCCAGTCCCTGTGCTCCTCAGAGTCCCAGCAGGAGGCCAGTCCCTGTGCTCCTCAGAGTCCCAACAGGAGGCCAGTCCCTGTGCTCCTCAGAGTCTCAGCAGGAGGCCGGTCCCTGTGCTCCTCAGAGTCCCAGCAGGAGGCCAGTCCCTGTGCTCCTCAGAGTCCCAGATGTCTCAGATGTACATTTTACATTGTACAAAACAGTTTATTGGCTTTAATAATGTTTGTTTGTTGAATAAATCATGTATTTCAATTCTTTTTAATTTATTGTCATTTGGTCTTTCACAGTCATTCCAGTTTAAATCAAAACAAACACAATACAAATGTTGAAGTCTGTGCATGACCAGGCACAGGCTGAAACCACTTGCAAGATTTGGCAATAAATAATTTAAGTAACTTTTGCGGAAAATATCAAATGTGTTTTTTTCCGAATTGAATGAAATGTTGAAAACGAGACCAGACCTCCACAACACCACAACATCCCAGTGGCCCCAGAGAAAGTTACTGTCCAGCTCTGCTTTAAAGGTGCACGGTGTAGTTTTTACTCCCATCTAGCATTGAGATCATAAATTATATTCTACTGTACTACGGTAGCCTTCGCAGGACAATATATCGCCTTTGACAGTGGTCCCCAAATCCCGCTCAAACTCCTTTTTGTCCCTTATCAACCACTGTATTTCAAAATGGCGCATGGACATTTAGAGTCCTCCAGCCTCATGGACATTTATAAGTCAAGTTGACAAGTCTATGACAACAATTCAAAAACATTCTTACAAAGGTCACATTTGTTTTTAGTTCACATGTTTTTTCGTTTGGAGCAAATTTATAGAATACACCTTTAAGATTGTTTACTAAAAACTACGGTACCTCATTTTTTTACGACAACAAAAACCTGTGTACTGAAATCAATATAATGCTGCAGTTTCTCTGTCTCTGAACAGTTTAGTTGGTCATGTGTAGTTATTTCAGACCACCCTCATTCAGTTCTCAGCCCAAAGAGTCAAATAGTGACTCAGGGGTCTCTGTCAGGACCAAAAAAGCAGGTTTATGTATGACAACTTTGGCAGAAGCAAGAGTTTTCCCATTACAAAGAAAAAGCGTTTCTCCCATTGGCCAATCTTGTTTTAAGACCTTTCAATTTGAAGATAAACAGTTTTGATACCTTGTTTTTATTGATGTACTTGTTGTGCGCACTGGGGACTTTTTGCAAATGTATTCCAATGTTGTTTTACTGCAAATGGTACAAAAAATCTCAATCTGAAATTCACCCCATTTCAAGTTGATTTTAACGTGTAATTCTGTACATGGTATTAAGCAGGTCAATGATCCCACCAGAAAAAAAACCTTTGCCGAAATCTTATCTTTACAAGCAGTGACTTTACCCGGCACATCTCGTTAATGGTAGTTTTCAAAGGGAGCGGATTCCAAAGGCTGCAGTGGCTTAAGTTGAGTGGAAATCACCGAGTGGAGAGAATACACAGCTGTTTTTTTGCTTCAGAATGTGCTCTGCCGAATAAAGCACAGACATGTTTAATCACTGAACTCCACTCCTACAAATGACTGTACAGGATCCGGTTACTCTCCTCCACTGGCAAAACACTAGACTTAAGTGTAACTAGATCCAACCAGTTCCCTCTGTTTACCGCATGAACACACTGCAGCTGGAGACGCTTCCTGTTTGGACTGGGCTGGACCGGACTGGACTGGGTCTGAGGGAGGGCGGGCACGGAGGGCTGGACAGGAAGGGCTGGCACAAATGGGGGCGGGTCCAGGCTCAACATTTTTTCCATGAGAACGTCCAGTGACATGCTGTAATCTCACTCCGGGCTGGTGGGTGTGTACCCGGAAAGAGAATTACCCAATGGTTTTGTATGCCGTCTTCTTTGCTCTGGAAAACGGCTTCACAGGATGGTCCTAAAGTCGCTCTTGGTCCAACGCAACATTCCAGATGCTGTCAATGCTGAGAGAGGGATTTCATTTTTTGGACCATGTCAGTTTTCCCTGCCCCCGCGGCCATTTTGAAAAAGCCCACAGAAGGTAAAAGTGGTGGTATATTAGTTTTAACAGGGGAGATTGGTGTGACTACGCCTGTTATTATTTACACTCTATGGTTTGAACTGGGCTGGACCGGACTGGACATGGGTCTGAGGGAGGGTCTAAAGGTGCTTTCACACCGCCAACGCTGGAACACTGAAGCCTCGCGCACCGGACGCACATTCTCTAGTTTTCAGACGCAGGGGTCTTCACACCAGAGGTCCTGGGCTGCGGTGGCGCATGCCGGAAGTGGTGGAAGTAGCGGGCGAACTTTGATGCAAACAGAGTTAAGCTAGCGGCTTTTTGTGTAAAGTTCTTCTCCAATAATGCAGCTCTGCAGCGTCTCTGTGTCCAGAGACCTTCCAGAGACTTTATATAACAGCAGTATGTGTTCACGGAGGTGTGCCATACGTTTATGTTTTTATTAAACGGTATTCCCGCATCGGCAAACACGCTCGAAGCAGTTGAACGGGAGAATGAAAACGCATATATTCACAAGCACTATGTCCCCCATTGTCAATGGGGGACTGCTCGCTCAGACCACTAATGTCCCCGTGACCACTTTGCGGCTCTCTGATTGGTCGCTGGACGGGCGTCCCGAGGAAACGCTCAGCAATATTTATCTCCTGCGTGCGTTGATTATCCGCTCCTGCTCCTCTGCCTCGCAGTCCGTGCATGCATCCCGAGACGTGCACTTGCAGTTTGACGCTCGAACATTGACTTTGCATTGAAAGTATCCGGTCTGAAAGCAGCATAAGGGAGGGTGTGAGGGAGGGCCGTCATAGAGGGCAGTAGAGGGGGGCACATGTCTGAATGGGACCTCAGACATTCCTGCGTGGGCACAGGCAGAGTGTGTTCCAGCAGCAGAGGTTAAAGACATGTTTGCATCACACTGGCTTCTGTGGGCCCTGCTCCTCTCACTGCTCCTCACTCTGCTCCTCACTCTGCTCCTCACTCTGCTCCTCACTCTGCTCCTCTCACTGCTCCTCACTCTGCTCCTCACTCGGCTTCTCACTCTGCTCCTCACAGTTCCTCTCACTGCTCCTCACTCTGCTCCTCACAGTTCCTCTCACTGCTCCTCACTCTGCTCCACACTCTGCTCCTCACTCTGCTCCTCTCACTGCTCCTCACTCCTCCTCTCTCTGCTCCTCACTCTGCTCCTCTCACTGCTCCTCACTGCTCCTCACTCTGCTCCTCTCACTGCTCCTCACTGCTCCTCACTCTGCTCCTCACACCGCTCCTCACTGCTCCTCACTCTGCTCCTCACTCTGTTCCTCACATCGCTTCTCACTCTGCTCCTCACACCGCTCCTCACTGCTCCTCACTGCTCCTCACTCTGCTCCTCACTCTGTTCCTCACAGTTCCTCTCACTGCTCCTCACTCTGTTCCTCACAGTTCCTCTCACTGCTCCTCACTCTGCTCCACACTCTGCTCCTCACTCTGCTCCTCACTGCTCCTCACTCTGCTCCTCACTCTGCTCCTCACTGCTCCTCACTCTGCTCCTCACTCTGCTCCTCACTCTGCTCCTCTCACTGCTCCTCACTCTGCTCCTCACTCGGCTTCTCACTCTGCTCCTCACAGTTCCTCTCACTGCTCCTCACTCTGCTCCTCACAGTTCCTCTCACTGCTCCTCACTCTGCTCCACACTCTGCTCCTCACTCTGCTCCTCACTGCTCCTCACTCTGCTCCTCTCACTGCTCCTCACTCCTCCTCTCTCTGCTCCTCACTCTGCTCCTCTCACTGCTCCTCACTGCTCCTCACTCTGCTCCTCTCACTGCTCCTCACTGCTCCTCACTCTGCTCCTCTCACTGCTCCTCACTGCTCCTCACTCTGCTCCCTCACACCGCTCCTCACTGCTCCTCACTCTGCTCCTCACTCTGTTCCTCACATCGCTTCTCACTCTGCTCCTCACACCGCTCCTCACTGCTCCTCACTGCTCCTCACTCTGCTCCTCACTCTGTTCCTCACAGTTCCTCTCACTGCTCCTCACTCTGTTCCTCACAGTTCCTTTCACTGCTCCTCACTCTGCTCCACACTCTGCTCCTCACTCTGCTCCTCACTGCTCCTCACTCTGCTCCTCACTCTGCTCCTCACTGCTCCTCACTCTGCTCCTCACTCTGCTCCTCACTCGGCTTCTCACTCTGCTCCTCACAGTTCCTCTCACTGCTCCTCACTCTGCTCCTCACAGTTCCTCTCACTGCTCCTCACTCTGCTCCACACTCTGCTCCTCACTCTGCTCCTCACTGCTCCTCACTCTGCTCCTCACTCTGCTCCTCACTGCTCCTCACTCTGCTCCTCACTCTGCTCCTCACTCTGCTCCTCACTCTGCTCCTCACTGCTCCTCACTCTGCTCCTCACTCTGCTCCTCACTGCTCCTCACTCTGCTCCTCACTCTGCTCCTCACTGCTCCTCACTCTGCTCCTCACACTGCTCCTCACTCTGCTCCTCACTGCTCCTAACTCTGCTCCTCACACTGCTCCTCACTCTGCTCCTCACTGCTCCTAACTCTGCTCCTCACTGCTCCTCTCACACCGCTCCTCACTGCTCCTCACTGCTCCTCACTGCTCCTCACTCTGCTCCTCACTCTGTTCCTCACAGTTCCTCTCACTGCTCCTCACTCTGTTCCTCACAGTTCCTCTCACTGCTCCTCACTCTGTTCCTCACAGTTCCTCTCACTGCTCCTCACTGCTCCTCACTCTGCTCCTCACTGCTCCTCACTCTGCTCCTCACTCTGCTCCTCACTCTGCTCCTCACTCTGCTCCTCACTGCTCCTCACTCTGCTCCTCACTCTGCTCCTCACTGCTCCTCACTCTGCTCCTCACACTGCTCCTCACTCTGCTCCTCACTCTGCTCCTCACTCTGCTCCTCACTCTGCTCCTCACTGCTCCTCACTCTGCTCCTCACTGCTCCTCACTCTGCTCCTAACTCTGCTCCTCACTCTGCTCCTCACTGCTCCTCACTCTGCTCCTCACTCTGCTTCTCACTGCTCCTAACTCTGCTCCTCACTCTGCTTCTCACTCTGCTCCTCTCTCTGCTCCTCACTGCTCCTAACTCTGCTCCTCACTCTGCTTCTCACTCTGCTCCTCACTCTGCTTCTCACTCTGCTCCTCTCACTGCTTCTCACTCTGCTCCTCTCACTGCCCCAAACATTCTCGCCCCAAACACCCAGGGCACCTCTCCCTTTTTCCTTTAAAATGTTCTGGAAACAGCAGTGAGTCCTGAGTCGCTCTTAAACAGTCGTTGTTTTGTGTTTCTTTCAATATGCCAAATTGTTGCCATTTTCTACTTCTTTTTCATCACTTTTCGCAGTGTAAACAAAGTCCTGGCAACTTGTGAAACAAAACGTTGAACTATTTCTTCTGTCTGAACACAATAATCAGTACTTATTATTAACTATAAACTTATTACTTACCAGTTCTGCCTCTAACCTCTATATGAAAAAACCATATAGTGTGTGTTTAGTGCAGGCATGTCCAAGCTCAGTGTCATTTCATGTGGCCCTCTGCCTTGCTAACCCAAAGTCGTCTCTGAGATCATAAACACAAGTTCACTGTGTTATCCATCCAACTTCAGCTCAGCCAATTTAGTCCTTGTCCTAAAGCCCAGGACGTCTGGAATTCAGTCGTTGCTTTATTTGTACATACTGAGCAGACGTGGTTTTTTTATTGTGTCAGAAACTTATATTAATGGTGCTACTGTAGCTGGTGAGATGGTAAACATGTGTCATTCAGCCAACTTCAGCTCTGTTATAGATCATCATAAAAGCTCAGAACAGCCTGATGCCAGTCAAGGCAGTTTTTCAGTCAGTGACGATGGCCCCTGGACTAGTCTGGTGAACTAAAGTGGCCCTCTAACTAAAATGTTTGGACACCCCTGGTTTTGTGTGTGTTTTGTGTGTGTTTGGTGTGTGTTTAGTGTGTGTTTGGTGTTGACATGACCGGCCAGTTACACATCACTACACACTCCCCTCTGTGTCTGTCTCACATACAGTAAATGCAACAAGAATGAAAACAAAAATATAGCTCTCTGGTTAAAAGGCGACAAATGCACTTAAATGATTGTGTTTAATGTCTATATAATCTCAGGTCGCTCCCAAAAGTATTTAGAATTCAACATGATTTTGAAGGATTCACTATTGAGGCATTACACATCTATTATCAGTACAACTATAGGATACAGTATTATGGTATTTTTGTCATTATTATCACATAGGCTTTTTATGACAGCAACAAGGAGTAGCTCTCTACCTCTTCTGTTGTATGAAAGTAGCTCCCCGATTGAAAAAGGTTGGAGACCCCTGCGACAGTCTGTATGCAATTTCATAACAAACATGGAGGTATTTACAATCTGCTACAGGTGGTTTAGTGCGACATCCTAATGTGGTGAAAAGGTGCTGTTGAAGAGTCTTTGTCCTCGTGTGGAGCCTGCCCTCCCCTCACAGCCGAGCCCCCCGAATCCCCCCACCCCCCTCACAGCCGAGCCCCCTCCACCATCAGCCCCGTCCCCTGCCCTTAGCCCCGCCCCCTGCAAAAAGCACATGGCTCCAGATATTGTATAAGACTTTTATTTCTCTAGTGAATTCATATGTTTGTTATTCTGCACAGCAGCATACAGGAAAGTCGTGGTAAAATATAAATAACAAAGTTCAACAGTGTTTGTCATTTTTACTCTTTATCGTTTCGTCAAAAAACTTCTGTCAAAAGTGGCACATTTTTTTATCATTTTGCCTCAATATCATCCACACCAAACATTAAACAGCTAAACCGATCGGTATGTACAGACTTCACCTCGTGGCGAGCAGAGAACGCTTATAGCATCTGTGTTAAATGAAAAATCAAAATATGTCATACAAAGATCAAAAATACTATTAAAAACCCTTGTTATAAATGGCAGCACTATATCAATAAACTGCTGTGGACAATTTTATTTTACACATTTAGTACAAAATTCTGTTGAGGTAGTGCCCTCTGAAGTCACTTGTAAATGTCAAAATACTGTCTTTTTTTGTCTATTCTAAGTGTATATAGCCTTTGGTAAACAAAACTGCCAGTTACAGTCCTGCGTGCCCAGTCCCATGTGTCGTACATTCAGCACATTTTGCATCTTTTTTTTTGGATTCTCTCACAAACAGGAAAAGGAATCGGTAACATTCATTTTGCTCGAGTGGGGAGATCGCTGGGCTCCACATGGGGGGATAAAAACCCCACTTGTAAAGACATGACGCTCAGGTGGGCGCTTGAATCATCAAAAGCAAAGAAAAAAAGGAAATCCAGTGTGCCCTTATGGGAGTGTAAACATAAAGTCTGCGTTGGAGAAGCTGTGTTTTTTTTTTTTTTTTTTTTGAGGCCACGGTTGATTGGGACGTCCCTCGCAGACGGAGACAGAGCTGGCATTGTCCCTCCCCTTGCCTTCCCTGCTCCGGCGGATTGAGTATCAACTTTTTTTGTGAAGCGAGTCGGAGTATGCCAGCTCTCTCAAAAGCCTCGTCTGTCTCCTCTCCGGCCGCGCTCCGACAATTATGACATTCTTGAGCTTTTCGTTTTTAATGGCAAAAAACATAACTTTGGTTTTCTACGATGAGAAAGGAAAAGTAGCAAGCTTGGCCCGCCGTTTACAAAAATACTTGACGATATAGACGACATTCAGATGAAGAAAATACTCTCTGACTATCGATACATATGTGTTTAATAGCACACACTCAATGACTAGGACCCTAAGAGCAGAGGTGGCAAAAGCACTAGACTTAGGTACTCGAGTAAAAGTATAGGCGCGACTGTATTATGAAACGCTGTATTATGAAACGCTATTATACACCTTTGAAACGCTGTTGTAGTAATGTTTCAAACTGGCAAAAAATATCACAATAAACATGTAGAAGTTCACTTAGAAGCCCTGTTAACCACTGTGAATTCACTTAGAAGCATGGTTAACAGCTTAAAACCTGTCGTCATCTGAAAAGTAACTGAAACGTATGGAGTAGAAAGTACCAAAGGCATGTGAGTTGTTTAGTAAAGCTAAGAACTGATGCCAGGAGACGATACTTAAGTACAGTACTTAAACCGATATACTTAGCTACTTGCCACCTCTGCGAAAAAACAAAATAATGATAAAATTCAAAAAATAAAGCATAAAATCATTCTATATGAATAAACTATAAAAATAGAAGAGCATTATGTTTTCATATGATCAAAACAGTCATCTGGAAATAGTTCAGTGCAATTGGATAAGACTTTTGTTGTTGTTGTTGTTATTATTCTCTGTTCAGAAGACTTTGACCCTCTTGCCCCCCACCGCGCGGCCCCCTTTCAGAGGCCGCTGGGCTGGGTTCTCCTTGGACAGTGGACAGTACTTTATCGTGTGCGCGTTGTCCCCGTTGGCACTGCAGAGAGGACACGTGTACGCGCGCAGGATCGGGCAAACCACTCTGCCATCCGGGGTCTTCAGCACATGCGACCCGTACACCTCCTCCGGGGCCCCGTTGTTGCGACAGAACACGCAGATCTTGGGCTCCTGCTTGCCCCTGCTGCCCCCTCCTCCTCCGCTGCTCGCGCTTTTACGCATCTTCCTCTCCACGCTGAAGATGTCGAAGCCTTGGAACGCGCCCCCGAAGCTGGCGTCCACCATCCCGGCCCCTATGCCTCCGCGCTCGGGCAGGTGAGGGTGGTGGAACGGGCTGAGGATGGAGAAACGCTCCTTCAGGTCGAGGATAGAGGCGGGGGGCGGGCTGGCGGAGGGACAGCAGCAGCAGCAGTCCAGGTGGCTGCCCTCCGTTACGCACGGGCATGCACTGGGGATGTCCTCATCCTCCAGCCCCAGGGTGGCCTTCAGGGACTCGGTGATGGAGTTGGGGTTCTGTGGCAGCCTGTTGTTCTTGGTCACCAACGTGGTCAGCCCCAGGTAGTCATTCCAGAAGTTAAACGTGTAGTCGTACGGGTTGCGCGCGCTGAAGTAGTTGTGGTTGAGAAAATCCATGGCAACTCACGGGTTCTCTGGTGTGGAAGTGTAGCAGAGTATAGTCCCACGGCAGAGTGCAGAGAGGGCGTGCGTAATAAGCCTGGCTCCCGTAGTGGCGCATGTACAGCGTCTCCAGTGTCCCCTGTAACATTTGAGCGGACTGCGTAAAGGCTTTGTGGTTATAAGGAGCAGAGGGGGGTGTGGTTTGGGATGTGCTTCCAGGCCGCCGCCCCCTTTCTGTACAAAGAGCCGCTGGAAAACAACAGCACGGGCTTGTTTTGCTCCTCCACATGAGCCTCTGCTTCACAATGAGATCAGACTTTGGAATATCAATGTGCTGCTCACGTTCCGTCCTTTTACTGAGTTCAGAGGGATTCAAAATACAGCATTGTTCAGGATTCATCGATTCAATTCAGTTTATTTTTCTGTCATAATAATTTATATCATTCAAAATACACTGCACATGTCATTATCCTTTCACACCATACACAGTGGTGATAAACTGCTACTGTAGCCACGGCTGCCCTGGGGCACACTGACAGAAGCGAGGCAACCAGTATGTGCCACCAGCCCCTGCACCAAAACCACCCATACACACACACACCAGACTCATTCTATTGCGGGTGAATTGTCTTGCCTGAGGACACAATGACAGTTTGGCACTTTACAGCCTCCCCACTGTGGCACCTGGTGTTCCCAGAGGTCTCCCATCACAGTACTGACCAGTCCCTGCCCTGCTTAGCATCAAAGGTCTGACAGAATCTGGCTTTCTCATATAGGTCAGTCACAAGCACAGCTCAAAATCACAACAATAGTCATCTCTGAGGATTTTACGACATTGTCGATTCACCAACACAGATCAGAGAATCAGAAACAAAGAGAATGCAATGATAAAAAACATATAGAGCCATTGTTCCAAAAGGGGCAGAGACTAACATCCATAAAAATTAATGAATGTCTATAAATGTTTATAAATGTCCATAAATAATGTTGAATCAGTCATTAACTATTCAAAGCTATTTGTCCAGCTAAAAGAATCTTCTCAAGTTGAAATGTTTGACTATACTTTATTGTAGAAAACATTGTATGCATAAGAAAGAGCTAATTAAACAGGTGTAGATTAGCACTGCTGCTATTTACGACCCGGTACAATACATCTCTCCTCTTGGCTAAATGTTTATTATACACTGTCCCTGTAAAAATAAAAAAAAACTCATCATACCATGTGATTCACTCCTCTTTTTCACATTTCTGTCTGAAAACTACATTTCATTTAATTTCATTTATCTGTTTATTTAGAACCATCATTAAAATGTGAAAATGTGAAAATTAGTGAAAGAACCAAAAACCGAGGAACTACAGCTACAAGGATTAGAAAGTAAATTTTTTCTTGGTTTTAAAGTTATGACGTTTTAGCAGACTATTCCACAGACTAAACAAATGTAGCACACTGTGAGGGTATACTGTAGCCGCAGCGGCCCTGGGGCAGACTGACGCCCCTGACTCATAGGTACATGGGATTAAGATGAAGAGATTCTTTATTTGTTGCACAGTGAAATGTCAGTGTTGCATCAGCAGTTAAAGAACAGGAATGAGTGAGCAGTAACTCTATACTAGCATACAATAACATATCTAACTTCCGATGTGGTCACTGCAACATAAATGTACAAAAAAAAACATATTTCTACCAAATTTTTCTGTATTATCCACAGATAGTGATTCTACAGAAATGTACAGTTTAATTACATAGTGACGTTACGCGACATTATCTCGCCTCTTATCGATTCTGTGTGAAAGCGATCGCTGACAGTTATTGACAGAGCGACCGTTGGATCATCCAGAGACTCGCTCAAACTTCATCATTCCCTCTTCATCCAAACAGGACTCCATTCAAAACCAATAATTTATACAGAGAGGATCTTTTGTTCTTAACCCTTTAACGTTTCACTCGTTGAAGGAAGGCATTTTATTCTTTTTTGGATTTTTTAAGACGTAGGAGCACTACTATAAATTATTAGTTTCTTTATTTATTTATTTTTTACCCCTTGTTTATTTCTATTTTTTTATATAGACCCTCACGAAATGATTTAGTTGCAGTTTGATGTGAAATTTCTTAAAACCATGTGAGAGGTAGATTTCAGTTCCAGGCTTAAAGTAGTTATAGAGACTCAAAAGGTGATCTACATGGTTGAGGAAGCCATTAAAGGGTTAATTATGAAACTACAAGAACTCCCAGAGCCGTCATTTTGACTGCTCCCATTCAATCCAATGTAGTTCTGAGAAATTGAGAAAATCACCAATTTTATTTAAGAAGTCATTTATAAGGTTTTTAATACCTGCTAAAACTGCTGAATATACAGTAAATTAAAATACAGCAAAAACAGTTGGTTAGAGAGCTAATGCTAATGCAAAATACCAAATGCTAACAACTGATAGTGTGTTGCTATGGTAACTAGCACTTGCTTTTCCATGGTGGAAAACCAAGCTGAACCAGAACCAATCTGGGACCAGAACTTCAACCGCCATAGATAGAAAGTGGCTAAAAATGGCTATTTTAATTTAGCCCTAATGGAGCAGTCAAAATGACAGCTGTGGGAGTTGAAGGCAGAACTACTCACATTTCAGAAATACAAGATGATGTCAGAAAAACAAAGACATAAATAATTAAACGACACATAGAAAACAGAAAAACTCACAAAGTTATGAAGACCAAGAATGCACATGAGTCATCGCACGTCCAAAACTAAAAGCCGTCATATTGACTGCTCTGGGAGTTCTTGTGTTAAGCTGCTATATTTAGAAGAAAAAGCTCGGTCACACTGAGGGCTCGATGGTGATGGAGGATCTCGCAGGATTGTTGAGTTGGATGCGGAGGACAGAGGCGGGACTCTCTTTTTTAATGATTTGTACTGAAGTAATTAACCACGGAATAGGCCGACGATGGCCCCAGCTCTGACGCCAAACAACAGCATTGTGTGAGAGGGAGATGTTATGATGGTTATGGAAACAAGGAACCAAGGTAACAAGGAAACAAGGTAACAAGGAAACAAGGAAACAAGGAACCAAGGTAACAAGGAAACAAGGTAACAAGGAAACAAGGAAACAAGGAAACAAGGAACCAAGGTAACAAGGTAACAAGGAACCAAGGAACCAAGGAAACAAGGTAACAAGGTAACAAGGAAACAAGGAACCAAGGAAACAAGGAAACAAGGAACCAAGGAAACAAGGAAACAAGGTAACAAGGTAACAAGGAAACAAGGAAACAAGGAACCAAGGTAACAAGGAACCAAGGAACCAAGGAAACAAGGTAACAAGGTAACAAGGAAACAAGGAAACAAGGAACCAAGGAAACAAGGAAACAAGGTAACAAGGTAACAAGGAAACTGTCATGGTGTGGATTTTATTTTTGTATTCCGTTTTATTTTGACAGTTGCTTCATGCCCTGTTCCCTGTTGATTGTCTGCCCCGCCCTGATGTGTTTCACCTGTGTCTGTGTGTGTCTATGGCTATATCCACACGAAGACAAAACGCTTATAATTTCAGAAACTTTTTCTGTAAACACGGAGTTAGCTCAGTAAATGTGTGCGTCCATATGAATGTAGTCAATACGCCTGAAAACGTTGTGAAACTATGCCAGACCTGTTGGTGGCGCTGTGACGCAATGACGGGATCAAGCCCAAACTTCCGTGGGCATGCGCGGAATTTTGTAAACAGACAACATGGCGAGTGGGCGAGCTGGTACTACATTAGTATGGACGGACGATGAGGTTGAACTGTTGCTTCGGGTCACACTGGATTACAAAACCAACAAGCTACATTGTTGTTGTCATTATTTTCTGAGTGCGGCGCATGCATGCTTTAACAAGAGGCGGGGCGATGACGCAAGCGTCTCAGATACATTGCGGAGAGGCAGTAACCACGGAGCGGCATATACGGAGTTTTGAAATCTTTCCACTCTGGGACCTGGTTTCAAAAATGTTCGTTTACACCCCCCCAAAACGCCGGCCTCGTATGGACGATACACTGGATTGATAAAGTATTTTTGCGTTTAGGCCTGAGCTTGACTTCGTGTGGACAGGGCCTGAATGTACCCTGTGCTTCTCTCCCCTTGTTGCTGGTTCATTGTCTTGTTCTTGTCTTGTTCATGTCCTGTTCTGGTTTCTTTGGATTTTCGAGTTTATTTTTATGCCTTGGACTTTGTTTTATTAAAACCTTTATTTTTGCATTCCTGCGTTTGAGTCCTCCATCTCTCACCACGTGACGGAACCGAGGAACCGAGGAGTCTGGATCATTTTTGGTTTTGGAATTTCAGCAAATGTGAAGCAAGACTCTCCAGACATGTACAATATTCTTAGTTAGAAACCGACTGACCAACCATCAACTCAAATGTTAACATACTGAAGAAGCAAGAAAAAAATCTCTGACTTCAGGATAATAAAGAAGCAAGTATATATCCTGTATATTCTAGTGCATAAATACACTTGTATAGTTGTATGTTTACGTCTGTACATGTTGCAGCATGAGGCTCCGGGACACAGAGACACTGACACATGTGGGTATTGCACATTCTGACATTATTCAGATTAATATTGCACAGATGAGTAAAGTCGGCACAAAAACCCCAGTCTGCATCAAAACCCCTGAAAAGTAATAATTCAATAAATAAATCAATACGATCAATACTACTTGATTGATTGCAACGACTTCATTTTGAGGTGTGAATACAGAAGTACAATTAGACAGATGTATTGGAGAACGAGGCATAATATAAATCAAAGCTAATGACAAGTGTTAATAAATAAACATGGAACCCACGAGCTGGAGCCCATTCCTCAGGCGTGGCAGAAATGTGGACTTGTGAATATAGTTTTATGAAAGCGCATGATCGGTGGCAGCCATTACAGCCTGGCTCCGCTCTCACCAAAACACAGTTAAATCAGGGCGAAAACAGCGGCACCTGACATCTCATTTTATGAAGGCCATGTTTACGGGACCTCTGGAGCCGGCCCGACAGAAAA